TATAAAGGGATATTAAAACCTTACATTTTTATTTAATGATCAGTCCTGTTATATACAACTTAAAGGTTGACTTCTTCATTCAAATGATCTTTTGAAAATTTGTGTAGAAGTTATAGAATACTGAATATTTTTAAAGGAAAAAATACATAACAAATTATGTTTTTCCTCTTAAACCCAACACAAATAATGGAAAACTTGAARTATCCCAACCTAAATAGTCAGCTATTTCTGTCAAAATAAAACTACTGTCAATATTTAGATGCTTATTATAAATCTCCAGTTTATAGATCTAGTTCCTCCAAATTTAACATACACCATATGCAAAATAAATGTATTTTTAAAACTGAAATGTATACTTATTCCAAAATTATATTACATTATTTACAATAATCTATTGGAATAAAGAATTTCCTTAAAAGATCAAATAGTAAACAGTGTATAGTAGTACATAAATAGTGTATARTAATAAATAATTACATCATTTGAGCCAATAATAAATAGTGTGCTTAATATTCTTCAGAAGCTTGTATAACTTTCTCCTAAACATTTTTTTTCCTGGAACCATTGAACATTAAAAAAATTGACTTTTGAGATTTTATATATTTTAAAAACAAACATGAAACCTGAAAAAACACATCAGAAACAAGACAAACACTTTGAATCTCTGTGACATGCATAACAATTGTAGTTCATGACAATTTTTCAAAATGGTTAGAAATTGGTTCATGCTTAAAAGTTTTGTTAAAATTTAGTTCAATTTTAATCTAGGTTGATCTCTTTCATCACAAATAGTAATTCTGACAGTATTGATGTAATTATATTATTAAGGACAGAAATATTTACATTGAGATTTGAAGCTAAATCAAATACTGACCAAATACCATGTAAATTGTTGACATTTTCCAGTATTTGCTTTAAAAGTGCCTTTTTGTACCTATAAGTATTTGGTTTACAATTTTTTATAACATTATTACCATTCATACTCCTTTTTTCTTTGAACTCAAAGCCTTATATGAGTGTTTCAATACACAGAATTGCTATTTTATATTTTTCCAAYAGTATTGAGGAATTCATTCTCTTATTTACACAGAACAGACCTTGTAGAATTACTTTTATGTGGGGTTAACCTCAATATAGTTATATAATTAAAACTTGAACTTGTGAAGAAAGACAATATTCTCTAAGTTTTAAAGATTTTGATCTGATAATGTTGGAAAGTCAAGTTCTTTTTTCTATTTCTACTTATTTACTGCTTTCAAGTAGTAAACAGTGCCAAATAGTTCCCATAGCATGTGAGAAGCTGCTTTTTCAACAGAGACAAAATAAGACAAATAAATGTTTTCCATTACTGAAGATTATATTCATCCTGGATATTCAGCCAGTCCTCTTCTTTTGTTCTGATACATTTGTATATCTTTCTATTCTTGCATGATGTAATGAAAGCCCTCACAAATTAAAAAAGCATTACTGTGTTTTAGGCTCTGCATCTGTAGAAGAGGTCTAAATAGAACATATGTCTATGAGCCTACTGATTTCAATCTTTCATATATGAAAGTTCAGATATCATACAAACTTGGCTCATTTGATCTTGTGTGTTGAGACTCTTTCTGGAATACCTCCATGGCTGATAGCAAATTTTTATGTAAATGTTGATAGATGCACAAAACAAAAACAAAAATAAATAAATAAGTAAAAAAGAAGCAAAGAGACATTATCAGCCTACCAGAGAAGATAGACCTTTAAATAAAACAACAGAAGGGTGTATAGCCTCTCCCCAGGTTTTTCTTGATACAACTTCTTTAAAGGTCCACAGATACATCCAGAAACCTTTAGACTGTTTGTAGAGCACAAGAATCCTGTGCCTGAAGACACATTGCCATGGCTCTAAAGGTTTCTTTTTGTGAAGAGTCATAAATTTGTTCCCATAGTCTAAAAACAACTCTCCATTATCTTAATGCACTAGAGTGAATTCTGCTCCCTCAGGAATACTGCAGAAACTTTCAATGTTGATTTAACAATGTGACCTAGTTACCAATATTACAGAGAATCTACTTGCTTGGGTTTCCTGTTCATGAATGTATGAATTTTAGTACTGTGAAGCAAACAAGCATCTTATAGGAAAAGACTTAGGAAATGCCTCTGCCTACACTTATGCAAACTACTATTAAAATGAAAGAAATCATGCATGCCCACTTCAAAMCCTTGCTTTGAAAACTCTATTTAATACTTTGTGTTATTTTAGCATAGTACTAGTTTTGTAAATAGCATGGGTTAAAGTTACTCTATTGAACTTACACAACAGACTTAATACTGTAAGAGGATATTCTAAGCAGGTCCTCAAATATCCTTCTTATCTGTTTTACCTTATAATATCGGTGTAGATATTGACTTTTTGAAAGAGCATACAAATAGAATGTAGACGCCAGTGTCACTGCTTTATCTTATTTTTAAAGAGGCACTTCTTCATAGTTCTTAAAAGTACATTTTCATGATAACCTCTTACTTTTTAACATAGTAGTCAAAACATAGGCAAATATCACTGATGGCATGATAACAAGAATTATTTATTTTTAAATTAGTTTTGGAAGCAGCTTCCCTGAAACTACGGGCAGAAAAATGCAGTGGCACACAGCTGCCTGTAATCCCAGCAGCTCTGGAGGCTGAGATAGGAGAATCATGAGTTCAAAGCCAGCCCTAGCAAATGCAAGTTGCTACACAACTCAGTGAAACCCTGTTTCTAAATAAAAAATACAAATAGGGCTGAAGATGTGGCTCAAGTGCCCCTGAGATCAATCCGAGTACAAAAAAAAAAAAAAAAGGAAGAAGAAAGAAATTAGAAATCAAAGATGGAAGTACATGATGGAGTGTGGACCGGTAGCTGAGTTGTTGACTTTAGTGCTTGCCTAGTGTGATCAAGGCACTGGCTTTGATCCCCAGCACCACAAAAAAAAAAAAAAAAAAAAAAAAAAAGAAGAAGAAGAAGAAAAAATTAAATGGACTACTGTACTATTCAAATCAGTGTGATAACTCTTTAAAGTCCACAATTTTCAAGTAACAAGAGTAACAAGACGACTGAAAGAGTAAATTATGGCTCTCAAAGTAGAGAGGCAAAACTACTAGGAGACTAGTGTAGATGTGTCAATGGGGTACTATTGCAACTAATGTGAAAAAATATAGGGATGTTTATCTACTAGGTTATATAACAGTAGATAGCTACATGATGTAAAAAAAAAAAATCACATGAGAAGAAAAAATTGCCTAAATAGCACTAGTTAGATGATGCTGGGGGAAATGTTTTAAAGTTGAACGAAAATCCCTTGACTAAGCAGCTTCAGAACTGCTGGGAAATGAGTTTACTCACTGACTGAACTAGATATAGCAATTTCAAAAGGCATCATTGCTGTGATTTGTTCATTCATTTTTAACTATTTTACACAATCTAGCCAACTTTCAATTGCTCATTTGAGCAAGATCAGGCAYACACATGGCAATGCCAATGCAAAATTTCCAACGTGGGGTAGGGAGAGAGTACAAATGATGCTAGTTATTTTTATATATGACACTGACTTTATGACAGGAGAAAGAAGCTGACTGTGCTGGTTGACATCTGAAGCTGGTAGAATTCTGAAAACTGGCAATAAAGGGTGCACATTCAGAGAAATTCGTAAGAAAGAACAGTTGATTGCCCTTCTGTACTTCTGTGATTTCTAYTGGATTCCAATAGATCGTACTGCCTACCACATGTTTATGTAGTACACAAAGCCAGAACTATAGCATGTATGTCAGGTAAACAAAAACATAATTACATAAAGGGTTGTGTTCTTAGAAAATTGCTGTAGCTTTTAATCCCCCGATCATTCTAATCTCCGTAACAAGGGTGGGTAGAGTTCTTGACAGTCCTTATTCTTTTGCTCTTGATAGGAAGCTGCCATTCCTAAACTGTCTTTTATTCATGTTAATTTATGTATTTTTATTAATGTCAGACAGTCTTGGTATGTTGCAGAATGTTGTATTGGTTTGATTTTAAGATTGTTAGTAGAATCATAATGGGAGTTTTTGAAGCTTTTGGCTAGAAGTATGTAAAGGTCATTCAYTACATGCCTTTACTTATGTTGGTTTCCTAGTTGTTGCAGATATTTGTCTTTCAAAAGAACACATCAATGGTAAATTCTCAGTCTCAAAATTCATCGTGATCATGCTGAAAGGGTGATAAAAATCTTGCTTTTTCATGCTGGAGTTTGAGATTTAAAATAAGATCTTAAATGTGCTATATCATAAAACTTTCAGAAAATAAAATTGTAAATAATATACAGATTTTAAAAACAGATTTAAACGATCATATGCTCAGATGCCCTCACATGCTTTCATTATAACCTGGTTGCAGCATATTCTTTCAATCTTTTGGGGGGGRRRAAGCAGACATACAAGAACTCTATGACAACTAACTAAAACCGAGAAAAAATAATTAACTTTTTGTTCACCTACACAATGTTGAGACCTATTGTTTGAAGGAAAAACATATTTCAGAAAAGTGGCACATATTCAAAATATATTATAAAGTATATTGTATGTCCCTTATATAGGTACATTTCACTATTTCTCATTTTCATTAACTTCAGTGAAGGTGATTTTCCAGAGTTAGTATCCCAGGCAATTAATTATCTGCAACATCTCTAACATCATTAATATGCATGATTTATTTTATAAGCCTGTCACATCAAGGATTTATTAGAGCTCAGTAAAAATATATATGTTGTATGTGTGAATATATATATATATATATTTCAACAAGTGCACAACAATTAGAAATTAGCCACTTATTTATAAGTGGCAAATTTTGTTTTCCAAATTAGATGTCAAAATGCTAGTCACATATGGGTTTTCATTTTCTTGGCCAAAGAGTTTTGAAGGGAAACATTTTTAAAGTACATCACATAGGGGAACGAGGGGGTCTTGAATAAAGGACACGTGGTGAAGACAGCAGTTCAAAATTCCACATTTTAAGTGGGGAGACATCTTTTTGCAAGACTCCAGGAATGAACATGAAAGAGTTCAAGTGTTTAGTTCACCAGCTCATCTGTCATTCTCTGTCTCCAGAATGCAAAGCCAGTGATAGTCCTAGGACACATTCTGTCTGAAGTGAATATCACTAAATAGGAATACATTAATTACAATAATTTCTATAGTKTCTTGTGCCCAAAGTATACTTGAATATTGAGTTTCAGAGACAAAACAAGGAAACTATTCACTATGAGAGCAGAAATATGGCTTCATAGGAAACAGGGCTACATTTAAATTACCTTTGATACTTTATGCGTCTTTTCTGCTTTTTGTTATAGCTCATATCACTGGCTTCAAGTTTTGAGTCAATCTTTCCCAAAGTAAATAGCTACCAAAATTTACAAACTTGACATGAAGATTACATTGTATTTACAAAGAACTTGGCACTTACAGAATAAATTATTGACATTTTTTTTTAAATCCAGCCCAGGGCACCCATGGTTCAGGCAAATGAGAAAGCCTGATGCCTTATTATATATTATGCTACATTAACATGAATAAATAGATTTCCAGCTGGTAATTCCCCCACAGTGCTAGCCCTGTTGCTGAAAACTAGTACCTTCCATTTCTAATCCGTGGAGTGGGCGTGGAGAAGTTATTAGTCCAGAGAAAGCAAAGGTTGCATGTTTTCTTCCTCGTTTTTATCCATGCGCTTTAGTACAGTGGGGTCCACTACTGATTGGGATCTGCAAAGGATAAAGAAAGCCAGGGTCAGTGATTGGTACCAAATAATTACCTGATGACATTCTCTTCTCTGTCTTTTCTTTGCCATTACTTCTCCAGTGGATGTGGATTATCCTCTCCTACATCAAGGAATTTATGAACTGTGGATATTGCAAATTTAGAGAAACACTGATGGTGGTGTTTGGTATCAGAGTGAGGAAACAGTTCCCTCTGGCCTCTCAGTAGAGTAGTGGGAAGAAAAGGATTCTAAATAGATAATAATAGGCCTCYGTTCTCCTCTTCACGACTGAACAAGTCTCCTTTTTGAGACATCGAGAATTTCTAGTGTAGGGCAGATGCTTTCTTACATATTCAAATGGAACGAGAAAACACTACAGTGAAATGATTGTTATTAAAAATTGGATAGAAATGACAGGAGGCTTGATTCCTGCCTTCAAAATACCTATGAAACAAATTCAATGTGAATGTGTTTTCCTTAACCATCATTTTTATATTAACGATTATATCAACAAAAAATCAGAATTAAAATGTTGCTTTTGTTACAGTTCCCAATAGAATATTCAATAAAATCAGCTTTACTCTTAAAGCTTTTTAAAAAATTATTAATGACTTAAATATATATATATGTATGTATATATATACATATATATATATATAAACTTAAAAAAATACACACACACACACACACACACACACACATATACATACTCTTGTTGAGGAAGCAACACACTATAATTAAGAAACCACATAATTTGAAAACTTCCTTATACCTGCCTTTGATATCAGGTGGGAATTATATTCTGATTCATCATTAGGAAACAACATGAAAGCAGGAAGGAGGAAAATCAGTGAAACATGCTACAGTTGTGGCAGGATGCTGCAATCTTAATAGCCACAGCATTAAGGAGGCAGCTGCCTTTTAAAATTCTCCTCTGTAATGAATTCTCCCCTGCTGCTGCATACCAGCCAATTGGTTTCTGCTGTGGCAATATGCCTCTTAGCAGACCTCATTAACTTTCCAAAAGAGAGACTATAAGCTAAAATACAAGCACACATGCTAATGAAAATGAACAGCAATGGAACTAATTATMAAAAAAAGAAAAATTATAGGATTAACTCACAAATTATCTCCTTCATCTAAGTAAACCTAAATTTGTTTCAAAAGTGGGAATGGAAATAAAGGTGAAAGGATTAATTAAAAAAAAAGGTTTGTTTTGCTTTCTAACTTATTTTCTGCAGTTAATCTGAATATTAAGTAGGCATTAGATAGATATTTGTCTCAGAAAGAAAACTGACTGAAGTTTTGTGTCTTTGTGTTTTCAACAGAAAAAATGAGAGAGGAGGAGAAAGGATGAGGAGGGGAAGGAACACAGAGAGGACAGCACATCACAGGGTTTCGTGAACAGCAAGATCTCAACTTTAATACATGTGATGTCCATACTAAAAGAACTTCCGTGTTAGGTATTCAAAATGAAGAGTAATGAGGATAATGAAGAAAGCATTTATAGTAAACAGATTTAAAAATCCCCTTAAGTTATATGTATTAAAAGGTTGAGATCCATATTGWTTATATCAATAAGTAAATGTCAAAGCTATTCAGACTGCATAATGCAGACAAGGTAAGTATTTGCATCTGCCATCATATTCTGTTACAACATATAAAGAAAGTCACACACACATATACACATTCTTTAAGTCTATGTGCATCGTGGCTTCTAAAAAATATTATTAAAAGTTRTGGCAATTTTAACAAAATATTTTAATTTATATCACACTTGAACTTAAGTTCCTAGCTTGCTTTCTTCATGACTTCCAGATAACAAAATTGTTGGTTAATGAATGCTGCTTCTAAAGTAGAACAATTCCTCAGCAAGAGGGAAAAAAGCCACACAGTAATGGTTTGCAATTAAAATATTTTTCTGGTATTTAGTTGCCCCATGTATACTGTTATTTAGACTAGATTTGTTTTTGTTTTTACTTTTTTTTTCATATGGAAGAGGAAGATAGTTTTTGTGGTATCAGTTAATGAATAGGTTTATTCTAGCTGCAGTGAGAGAGCTGCCTACCATTGACTTATAATATCTCAGGAGTCCCCACACAGCCCGTACTGTCCTTTCAATGAATAAATATCCAATAATTTAAATTTGGTTGTCAAATACTCATTTATTCATTCATTGAGCATCCACAATATTGTGCTATACCAAAATGCTTAAGAGGTTAGAATTTGGAGAGAGGTAAATTTCAATTGTAACAACTTCCTAGCTCTGTGATCACAGGAAGGCAATTTAAACATCCTAAGAATTTTGTTCTCTTGTTTGCAAAATGGGGAAAAGATCCTTTACATTGAAGAAGTATAGTGAGGACCTGACACAATAATGCATAAGCCCAGCACAAATTTTTACAATAGTGCTTAAGGAAATGGCTAATAGAACACTGTTGCCCAAGTACTGAAATTAGCATTGCTTCTCTGTACTTAGGCAGCATATGGAAGACATATACCTTTCCTGTGTTCTGTTCTCTTTAATAAAATGGGGACAGGACTACTTTATTAGCTGCTTCAAGAGACGAATGAGTCCCCATACACAAGTAAATAGAAAAATTTTTGGCATGTAGTAATAATAAATGTTTGATACCATTCAATAAAATCAGAAGCTCATATCACATGACCATATGAATATAAGTACTCACTGCAACTGTTCGGTGCTAGGCACTATCCCAAGCATTGGAGATTCAAGGTAAAAGAGACTTCCTAGATCTAAAACACTCAAAAATCTAGAGAACTTGGTATCTTTTCACATAATTGTTCTCTTCCTCTGCAAATGTGCACAGGAGGACAAGTTCKTCTTTTTATGTGTCTGAATAAATACACCCAAAGGAATAATTACAAACAACCTTTGGTAACAGAATTATTTATTCCTTCTCAACCTAAGGTTAATATAAAACTGAAAAGGCAAAAGGACACGGGGAGTTAGAGGGAAACTCAGAGGCAATCCCCTCCTATCCTTGATGGAGAACTGCAAGTCCTGACACAAAGAACAAGAAAATCAAATGAAACAACTTTCATAATGCCATTCTTCAGGATTTTGCCAACAGGATTATAAAACCTATACTGAAGGACATCTAAAAGTCTAATCAGCTCCTGTGAGAAGGAAGACACAGGACTGGGGCAATGGATGTGCTGAAAGCCATGTCTGCAGGGGACAAAATGGCCTAATTACTTGGAGAAGAGAATCAGGATCCAGAGTAACTTCAGAAGGTGGATAAACTAAACCAACTCTAACAAGATGGTGCTAATCAATTAAAAGGATTTTTTKGGGGAAAAAATCTAAATATAGAAAGAGAATTAGGAGATGACTTGATAAAAAAGGGACTTCCCAGTTTCACAAAGGACATTAAGAGTTGACAGTGTGCTGTGGCCACCTGATAAACAGTGAGAGCAACAGAAGATGCCAAGGAGACCCACACTGGGAGCCAGAATTCTGGAACCTCAAGGCCTGTGGTGACACTAAGGTCAGATGTCACCTATTCAGTTTGAACACTGAACTTAAAGATAACCACTGACAGACCGAAGTACTCCTTCCTTTACCCGACTGGAATTTAGTGAGCATTTGCTATAAGCAACTCTTTCCTCCAGGCACTGGGGAGTCCTATCCAAAGAAAATAGAATAGACAAAGCCACCAAGACCCCATTAAGCTTACACTGGGGGACTGGATATCAAATTAGATAAAATCAGTCATTTCACAAACCTAATGCTGCAAAAAAGTACAATAAAATAAATGCAGGAAATTAATAGATTGTAATTAGAATTGGATGCAAATACAGATAACCAAGACCAGGTATCAGAGAAAGACCAAAGACTGGAGGAGGTGACCTCTGACTGGGACCAGCCATTTGAGGATGCAGGAAAAGAGCATTTCAGGCAGCAGTGACAAGGGCAAAACTCCCTAATAGGAATAAGCTGAAGAGGCTGAAGGAAGAGATAGGAGCCTAGGGATCTGAAAGGTAGGAAATGTAGGTTTGCTAAACGAGAGAAGAAAGGAAGGCAGGGGCAGATCACAGAGCACTGTTAGCCACAATATGGGGTTGATTTTATTCATCACATAATAAGCAGTCATTTAAAATTTAAGTCAGAAATAGGAAAGGATCTGAATTACCTTTTTGAAAGTTTAAATTGCCATGTGGGTAGTAAATGGGGGCCTAAAAGGGCAGTTAGGAAAGGTTTGGAGGGAGGGGTGCAGGTGAGCAGAGTGTAGGCATGGGTGCTATTGTGGGATAAAGAGAGAAGCAGGCTCACGCAATGGTCCACAACAGTGCACATCACAGGACAAATGGACAAAGGAAAAGGACTTTATTAACTGGGAAAGGAGGAAGGTAGGAGACAWACATGACACCTGGTCTCTAAATCATTATATAGCTCAGTTCCAAAGAGAGGGAGCTGGTGCCATGCTGTCATGAAGGGGTAGAAAAGCTTTATGTCATCAAGAAGAAAGACAGTATACCTCATAGGTTCGAGCCCTGCTCTGCTAAATATAGAATGTGTTACATTGAGGATAAAATATCTGAGTAACAGGATTGCTATGAGGATTAAGTAAATTAATGTGAAAAATATGTAAGTCTCACTTATGGTAAGTACAGAGTGAATGATAGAGTATAACAATGATTATTATTATAATTACTTTTATTAGAAGGGAGCTATTCACAGATAATTACTTTTAAGAATTTTTGCTTATGAAAGTTCTTTGAGAATTTGATAAAGCTTATGTTTTCTCCCCAGAAAAATAAAATTCTCATGTGTATACATACTCATTGATACATATGGCCCCCAAGATTTTGCACACTCTTAACAGAATCCTTTGAGATACCATCAATAAACTTTTTAGATTAGGAGAGCATAGCTCTGAAATCAGGAAGTGCTATTCTAAGAGAAGAGAGTTGAGAAGTAAAGGGTTGGTTTAAATATAAGTTTTTTAACTAGTGGGGAAATGATAGCAGGTGAATTTTCTAACCTTTCCATTTTCTTCAAGGTCTGTAGAGTTCTCACATACACAAAAGCAACATCATGAAAGAGACTGGCCTTAAGGACCAGGCATGCTACCAAAGCAGACTTCCATCAAAAAGTACACAGGACATGGTTTGGCATGACAAGTGATATGTCATTGAGTCCTACTTGAAGTAGTGAAAAAAAGTCTTGCTGGGGCTGCAATTCCCATTATTTCTGTGGGTGGAAAGTGAGCCAGAGAAATAATATTTGTTACCATTATTGTATTTTACTCTGAGCTGGTATAGTATGGAGAAGCCTAAATATTAGGCATTTGTGTGTGTGGTGGGTTTGGATGGAGAGACTGAGCACAGGGGCATACTACAACTGCACTATATCCCCACCCTTTTAATTTAAATTAATTTAATTTTTTGTTTGTGGGTGTGACAGGATTTCACTAAATTGTCTAGGTTGGCCCTGAATTTGCCATCCTCCTACCTCAGCCTCCTGAGTTGATTTGTTACATGCATGACTTAGATGTCTTTTTTTTTTTTGCCACAGGATGCAAACTCAGAACCAGTTATGCATATATGTGCATTTGTGTGTCTTAGACTCCCTCATCCACTGATTGAAAGAAAGCAGACATAAAAGTGCCATGAGTCAAAGCAAGTGATTCAACAGTGAACTTTATAAAGATCAAACCTGTAAAGAAATAGAATGCTCTGCACAGGAAATATTAGACCATTAGACAAAGACTTGGCAAAGATACTGAAAATGTAGCATAAACTTTGAACCTAGTGTCTGAATTGAAGTGTGTGTATGTGTGTATGTGTGTGCATGCACATGTCTGTCTACATGTGCATCTGTGAGTCTCTGTGTGATGCTTTTCTTCAAAGGAAATCTTACAAGTCCAATATATTAGCTAAGGAAAGTTGCTAGCACTACAGGGGAAATGGGTACTCTCCCCACACCTCCTGCTGGCCTGAGGTACCCCATCAAAAGCCTGGATTCCTCAGGGTAGTTCATTTGAAAACTACTGGATTTGGTGATTTCTAAGAGTCCTGCTAGATTTGTCTATGAATCTGAAAAAAAAAACACTAAGTTGAGGTTACCTTGAATGACTTGACCTTTTTTAAACCAACAGATAATAATTGCATGTATTTATGGTGGACAAATTCTATATGATCTCACTTACAAGGGGAATCTATGATATTTCAAYGCATACCTTTACAGAGCAGAATGTGGTTGCCAGCAGTTAGGAAGGGATCATAGGATAAACAGGGAGGCATTGGTCAAAGAGGATTAAGTTTCAGTTAGAGTGGAAGAATAAGTTCTGTAGATCTACTGTATAGTATGGGGACTTAGTTAATAGTAATGTGCTTTATATTTGAAAACTGCTAAGAGAATAAATATTAAATGTTCTCACTAAAAACAAAAGACTTTATCTTTGACTTAAAATTCAAGAGAGTCAATATTAAATGTTCTCACTGAAAAAAAAAAGAATTTGTCTTTGACTTAAAATTACTGAACATCCAATCATGGGGACATGAAAGGTTTTAAAATTACACAAAGAAATATATACATATAGGAAAATTGTATAAAACTTGGAGATAGACTTAGGATGCCTCCCCAACCCAGCCCCAGATCACCTCCCAGTCACCTCCCACATACCTCTTCATGGACTTTGGGGAGAGCTCCTTTTCTACTTCCTTCACAGGCATGCTGTAGGAGTCCACGTTGTACTCACTGTCATCGTCATACTCGTGGTCTAGCAGTGTTCTTGCCCATGTTCCCATGTCATAAGGGGGCAGCATTCCTCCAAACTCAGAGGGCAGGATCTCAGGATGAATTAGTTGGTGTAGACTGTTCAGATTGTTACCATGCAGAAATATCTAAGGAGCAAGAAAAGGGTGATAGAAAATTAAATWCCATTCCAAATGCTCTGGGGAAGAAGAGAAGATGGGAAAAGAAAATATAAGACTCTCCCATGTCTGTTRAAATATTTAAACCTCTCATCTCCTCTTTGAAACAGGTAAGGCTGCTACTACTGTTCTAATATTTCATATAAAATCCTGAGGTTCAGAACTGTTAGGTAGTTTCTGGAAGATCAGATAATGAATGCCTAAAGAGCTAGAACCACAAATAAGGTTTTCTGCTTCATAGTCCAGGGCACGGGCAGAATAAGATGTCTGTGCTGATCTGCACACAGTCCTGATATTGGCTGTGCAAGCCTGGTGATTCGCACAATGAATGCTGTTAGAACAGACCCTGCTCATGAGGGACTCATCAATTACAGAGTCTATCTGAGTTATTAAGCCCAGAAGCTGTCGCCAGTATGGCTTTCTCTTTATCATCAATAAAAACAAGAATACTGTAACCACCAAATTACTGCTTTATAATGCAAAGAAGGTGCTGTAAATAAAAGAAGTAGATTAGTATCCTCATAATGAAAGGCTGAGTGAGGTTCGTGTCCCAAGGGATGTATGTTCTGCAACACTGCCAGCATCCCCTCTTCTAGAGATTTCCATATTTATTGTCCAAACAGAAAGCCCAACAATGGGTTGAAAATGCAGCATTGTATGTAAACATTAATTATTGGTATTATTGTCTACAAAGTGCTCATTTATTAAATGGAAGACTATCAAGTCACATATTGAAGATTTATTTATCCGTGATTTGCCACTCCTTTCTTTTTTTCATTTTAACTTCTCTGGTATAGCATTATTGTCATTCATATAAATTTATGTAATATTTAAGAATGATAGTTGATAATTTACATAATAGTTTCATATTTCAGGTTCAAGATAAACAGGGTAGCACATTAGTATTTGCTTTTTGTAATTTTAGAATCCGCAAAAGTAAATACATAGGACAACAAAGAAAGATTAGTCTACAACATTAAATAAAATCAGAGGGATGGGAATCAACAGTTAGCAAGCATTTAAAATGAATTATGAAAGAGTAAAACAGAAAACAGCAGGTCACTGGCCAAAGCAAGAAAAGCAAGCAGCAGCTATAATACATGATGCTGGGGGCCTACAGTGGTGGAAGGTACCATCTGCCCAGATAACACGGAGTTAATTGCAAACTTCACACCTTCCTGTTCCAGGCTTTGAGCACAAGAGACAATATTTATTTCCAGGAAAATAATATTCTTTCTCTCTGCCCCCACCTCAGGTTCCTCTTATCAGAAATGAAAAGAATTTTCCCAAGAAAGCACCTGAAACTGTTATTTTATTAGGTATGTAAGATTTTTTTTTAACCAAGTGCATTTCTTCCTTCAAGTCATGCAAGAGTTACGATAAAATAAWTTTTTTTWAAAAATCCTTAGAACAGTAAAATAATCCTAGCACACTGACTTCCTTTCTCTTCCCTAACACTCTGCTATCTCCTCCCTCAGAAACCCTCTCAGCTTTGCCCTTGCTTACACTTTTACTGAGAAAATAGGCCAACCAGAGGAGATCTAACCACCAGCATCTGTGTCCATGTACTCTGCCTTCACTGCTGGTACAATGTGGGGGATAAACTCCACCAAAGCCAAACTCTCCACATGTGTACTAAAATCCATAATCTACCCCCCACTCAGCTATACTTCTCCCAAGTCTCTCTTATCTGTCTCTCTCTCTCACATCACAAATTTCCTCTCTCTACTGGATCTTTCCCATCTGAAAGAAAAACAAGCTAACTTCACTATACCCCATGCAGTCATGTAAAACCTCYCTTGGCTCTGTACCCATCTGCAGTTGTTACCCTACATCTCTCCTTCCCTATGTTGCAGAACACTCCAAAGGAGTTGTCTGTTCATTGCCCAAATACTCTCTTCCAATTTTTCCTAAATTCAATCTAAACAAGTTTTGTCCCTTACCACTGTATGAATATAGCTTCTGACAAGATCCTACTAATTGCTAAATACAGCATTCGGTCCTCAAGTCTAAGTAGTTATAGAAYGCATTTTGACACATCATACACAAATGGAATATAACTTTTMATTCTTCTGATTGTACATGATGTAGAACCACACCTGGAGTATAATYATATATGTACATACGGTAATAATGTCTGATTCATCCCACTGTCCTTCCAACCTTCATACCCCATGTCCTCTCTTTACTCTCCTCCGTCTAATCCAAAGTATCTCTATGCTTCCCYAGCCCCATCTCCTTATTGTGAATTAGAATCTGCATTTCAGAGAAAATATTTGACCTTTGGTTCTTTGGGTTTGGCTTATTTCACTTGGCAAAATATTATCTAGCTCCATTCATTTACCACCAAATACCATAATTTCATTTTTCTTTTAAGGCTGAGTAATATCCCATTGTGTACATAAACCACAGTTTCTTTATCCATTCATCTGTTGAAGGGCATCTAGGTTGGTTTCATTGTTTAGCTATTGTGAATTGAGCTGCTATAAATGTTGATGTGGCTGAGTTACTGTATATGCTTATTTTAAGCCCTTTAGGTATAATTCAAGGAGTGGGATACCTGGGTTAAATTGTGGTTTCATTCCAAATTTTCTGAGGAACCTACATATTGCTTTCTATAGTAGTTGCAACAATTTGCAGTCCCACCAGCAATGTATAAGTGTACCTTTTCCCCCACATTCTTACCAACATTTATTATCACTTGTATTCTTAATAATTGCCATTCTGACTACAGTGAGAAAATCTCAGTGTAGTTTTGATTTGTTTTTCTCTAACTGCTAGAGATGTTGAACATTTTTCATATATTTGTTGATCAATTGTATTTCTTCTTCTATTGAAGTGTCTATTAGTTYTTTAGCTAATTTATTGACTGGGTTATTTGGTGTGTGTGTGTGTGTGTGTGTGTGTGTGTGTGTGTTAAGTTTTTTGAGTTCTTTTTATTTCCTGGAGTTCAATGCTCTATCTGAAGTTCATGTGGTTCAGATTTTCTCTCATTCTGTAGGCTCTCTCTTTATGTTATTGATTGTTTTCTTTGCTGTAAAGAACCTTTTTGTTTGATTCATCCCATTTATTGATTCTTGATTTTACTTCTTGGGCATTGTGAGTCAGATTCATATAATCATTTCAATAGATGCTGAGAAAGCATTTGACAAAATACAGCACTCCTTCAAGCTTAAAACACTAGAAAAACTAGGGATAGTAGGAACATATCACAACTTTGTAAAAGGTATCTATGCTAAACCCAAAGCCAACATCATTCTAAATGGAGAAAAATCAAAAACATGCCCTCTAAAAACGGAAACAAGACAAAGATGCCCTCTTTCACCACTTTTATGCAACATCATCCTTGAGACTCTAACCAGAGCAATTAGACAGAAGAAAGAAATTAAAGGGATACGAATAGGAAAAGAATAACTCAAACTATAACTATTTGCTAATGACATGATTCTATACTTAGAAGATCCAAAAATTCCACCAGAAAACTTCAGGAACTAATAAATGAATTCAACAAGTTAGCAGAATATAAAATTAATACCCATAAATCATTTGCATTCCTATACATCAGTGATAAATCCACTGAAAGAGAAATTAGAAAAACTACCCCATTCACAATAGCCTCAAAAAATATTTGGGAAATCAATTTAACAAAAGAGGAGAAAAACATCTATAATGACAACTACAGAAAAATAAAGAAAGAAACTGAAGAATGCCTTAGAAAATGGAAAAATCTCCCATGTCCTTGGATTGGCAGAATTTATATAGTCAAATGTCCGTACTACCAAAAGCGTTACACAGATTTAAAGCAATTCCTTTTAAAATCCCAGTGACATTCTTTGCAGAACTAGAAAAACTAATCATGAAATTCATTTGGAAAAATAAGAGACCCAGAATAGCCAAAGTTTTCCTTAGCAAGAAAAGTGAAACAGGAGGCATCACAATACCAGACCTTAAATTATACTACACATAGAGCCACAGTAACAAAAAATGGATGGTATTGGCACCAAAACAGATACATAGACCAGTGGTACAAAATAGAAGATTCAGAGACAAACCCACATAAATATAGTTGTTTCATACTAGAAAACAGTGTCATTGACATACGTTGGAGAAAAGATAGACTCTTCAACAAATGGTGCAGGGAAAACTGAAAATCCATATGTAACAAATGAAATTAAACCCTTCTCACCCTGCACAAACTTAACTCAAAGTGAATCAAGAACTGAGTCACTAGAACAGAGACCCTGCGACTGATAGAGGAAAAAGTAGGCCCAAATCTCTTCCATGTCAGCTTAGGAACTGACTTCCTTAATAAGACCTCTTGGCTAAAACATTTCCTTCCAGTGTCCTTTGATTGTCTCTTACCTTGCTAGACTTTTCTTACTCTTCCAAAATTTTAACATTGGAGAGTTCCAGGTCTCAGTTCTTAGAGCTATTCTCTTTTTAAACTATGCTCCCTCTTTGGTGTTCTCATTCAATCCATTTCTTTCAGTCAGCGGCTTTACAATATTGTCCATATACTAAAAAGACATCTGGAATCCAGAACTCTTCCTTGAACTCCATATCTGAATTTCCACTCTACTTGATATCCTCATTTAAATGTTTAATGGGGTCCTCAAATTTAACAATTCCAAAATTGAACTCATAAACTTCCTCCCAGATCTTCTCCCTATTTGGTGCTGTTTTCAAAATGTACCGTGAATACAATCACTGTTACCAAGTCCATCCCTATAACAATGACTCGAATTACTATCATCTTGTAAATTGTATTACTGCATTAGCCTCCTGATCAGTTCTCCTGCTTCTACTTTTCCAACTTCTCTCCATTCTGAAGATGGGAGAGACCTATGAAAATATAAGTAGGACAATATCATTCCGCTCACAATTCCCACTGACTTCTTTCTCTGAGTTAAACTCTGTAAGACTCTGTAAGAACAACTTCTCTGAAAACATCTAATTCTCACTCCCCATAGGGACATAGTGCCTCAGGGCATTTGCAATGGATCTTTGTTCTGCCTGGAGATTTCTGCCTGCAAATGTTGCCATAGCTTATTGTTCCACAACCTCATCTTTGTTTGAAAATCGACTATTTAACATTATAGCCTTCCCCAACCTGGAAAGGATTACCCACTTTTTCTACACCATGTTTTTATAGCGTCTTCCATGTATGATACGATTTATTTACATTACGAAGATGATACTTTGGAGATATATAGAGAAACAATACCATTGTTTCTACAAATCCRAAATTTGTTGGAAAATGCAGATCATATGAAGATGCTCTTTTTGAATTTACCTGAGTTTATGGAAAAAGGTTAAATGTGACTACCTCATCTGGATTCAGCAAAAAGGATGCACTGCAATTGCCTAACTGGTAAATTTTTGCCCTTAGACTTTCTTTCTTTCTTTCTTTCTTTTTCTTTGAAAAATTTTGTGTAGTAACAAACTTTATTTTATTGTTTCTTTTTTCTTATGCTGTTTTTTTTTCCATTTCAAGCAAGAAATCTGGTCCTGTTCGCTTCTTTGCCAATTTTAAGAATTAAATTGAATAATACTTTCAGTACTATTTTGATTTCCTACACTATGCCATTAAAGAGATTGTGCTAAGTGATTTGGAATAGAAAGGAAGAGAGTGAAAAACTTTTGAGAATCAACAAGCAACAGAAAATGGGGTTCACCCTATTGAGGAAGAAATAGAAATKTGTGCCAACTACTGAGAAAACCTGCTTCCTTTCAACTCTTGGAAAGTAACAAGGCCATAGGTATGGCTGAGTGAAGAGTGCTAGTTGTGGGTTGAAGCTGAGCCCTTGGTTTCCAACTTGAACTGGGATGTACCTCTTTAACAGACAATTTAAGAGCAGAAGGAAATCTTAGTTCCAGAAACAAATATTGGCTTGATCAGTGGGGATGTCGGAAGTGTTTATAATGGAAGAGAAGTTTGGTGTGAAAGATTCCAGATCCTGGTCTCGAATTTGAGAAGGGACTTATAACACCAAAGATTAATATTATTATCAGCCTACCATGTTGGARGATCAAACTCATATTTCATTTAATTTGATAAAATGAAGAACTAGATGTTTTTCACATACCTGAGATTCACAATTCTTTTAGGTTTTCTTTCACCACTTTTTCAGAACACAGATTTATAGCAACTCAAGTGTGAGGTATTAAGTAATATTGTAATGTTGAGTCATTTGTAATTCCATTAAGAAATGTAATAATAGCTTTGCATTATGCATTGACTTTATAAGTACAAATTAAAGGCATTTAACCTATAATTATTTTTATATGAAAATTTCCAAGTCATATAATTTTAATTAAAATGGTAAATTCTGGATACCTCATTTCCATCCAGAATAGTACCAGCAATGTAGTCTTCTAGGCATTGCTAAAATTGTCAAATTCAATCACAAAACATGTTGCTTTCCTAGTTTTCTAAACCTGAACTTCTTCAGTGATTTKTATTTTTTCCTTTTAATATAGCAAGATCATGTTAAAATCATGTCAGAAAAAGTCACCCCTGTAGTCAAAGCCCTTGAAATATTTCCCATTTCACTCTGAAAGTCCAGATCCTTTCAATGGGCTACATGGCCATATATGATCTGGTGCACCATAGTCCTTCCTATTCATCCTGTACCACCATCCCTCACAGTTAATTCTGCTCTAGCTTTTCTGGTCGTCTTGTTATTTGCCAAATGCATTAGACAACTAGACATGTGCTTACCCTCACAATCCCCTCTGCTTGTAACTATTCCCCATATATCCAGATATCCAGTTCTGCTACCTACTATCTGTGATTCAGAGCAAATTGCTTAATCTTCTATGCCTCATTTTCCTATCTATGAAATGAGAAAAATAACAATTCTTACCCTAAAACATTGTTACAAAGAATAAATGAGTTAACATATGTAAAGTTGAGAACAGCATGTGGCACAGAGTGAACACTACATAAGTACTGACTAGAATACTTTCTACTAAAAGCCCCAGCAGGTGCTTTGGATAACCTGATCACTCTTTCATAGAACAACCTGGAAAGAACATTTGTGAGGCACTTCAATATACTTTCTGAATTTCAAAATACCAATAATTTGATTCTTRGTGGTAGAAATAATTCTTAATGCAAATTATAATTGAAATGTTTTCAATAAATTCATACACAGTAAGCTCTCTGTTCACTAATGTTTGATATGAACCCATAATTACTGCACATTCACACTCAAAATGAGGGCTCTGCAACACTGAAATACCTGAAGCACCTTCTCGGTCATTTGACAAACAGGGAGACTTACCTTATCATAATTGGTCTAGAAGTAAGTATATTTTCCTGTGCAACTAATCATTTGGGAAATGGATACAGCACAAAGAGGTGGGAATAGGTCTAAATATGGAGTTGGGTGATTTGGGTTTTATTATTAGCTCTACAACTTTACAGCTGTGTAGATGAGTAAGACCGTTACTTATCAGTCCTAAACCTTCCTTTCTTTAGTTCTGCAGCAGAAGATACAATTTACTAAATTAACTTTTCAGAGTTGAGAGTAGAATAGTAGTTATCAGAGGCTGGGAAGATAGAGATGGAAGAAGGTTGGTTTATGAACATTATTATAGTTTGATAAGAAAAATCAATTTCAGAAGGGTGCCAATAAATAAGAATAATGAATTGTGTATTTCAAAACAGCCAGAAGAAGTGATTTTGAATATTTTCACTACAAAAACATAATAAACATTTGAAGAGATATGTATACTTCTTCTGATTTGAATATTGTATAATGTATACATGATTTGGAAAAATAAATAAATAGTTGGCCAATGTTTTTAAAATGTACATATTCAGAGCTGTTGCAAAAATTGAATGAAAGAACACGTACTAAAAGGCATTTTAAAATCTATATTTAATAATAATGATAAATATATTAGTGTGTATTATACACTGTGCAGTGTTCTAAATGCTTTAAGTAAATTATTATCTTAGTCTTAGAAAAATGATTTTGTTGTTATGTGCTTTGATTATCTCATGTTAGATAAAACTAAATCTTCAAGTAAGTAACATGTAATTTAAAGTAATATTAAAATGTCTAAACATTATAATTCTTTTCAAAATGTGTGATTGATCATGATAATTATTACAAAATTATATCAGATATTGCAAAGTTTATTATATTTATTTCAGTGCATATTATAAAATAACAAACACCCATTTATCAGCAAACACTATTTTAATTTCTCTGTAGACCTTACCTGAAATTAAGTACAGCAATATTAATGTAGTTACTTGGCAAAAATTCTTTTGAACTTTACACTGAGGCTTTCATGTGTAATCAATGTATTAATATGTCCTCTTATAGTATAAGAAAGTAGGAAAGCTTGTTTTTAAATGTTTCATTCACAAATGCAGCATTTAGAATTACAAGGTCTATAAGAATTTTAAGGTGCTTTCTATGCTAAATAWTTATGTGACAACCTAGAAACCCATTTTACCATGGCCATTATCATACACACAGTGTGTATCACAACTCATTACATGGGGCATATTTAAAAACAAAGAAAGCAACCTACCCTTTTCCGAGTCTTCTCCTTCAGGAAAGGCCGGATCACAGTGTACAGGGCATGGATGTACCAGGGTTGATTGACAAAATGAATTCCTCCAAATCGTGCTGGGAAACTATCCTAGAGCAACGTGGAGGAAACAAAGTCAAGACATGCTTTAACATACTGCARAGGTTTAGGAAAGGTCAAATTTGTTATTCCACATACTAAAATGAGATCATCTGTGCAGCTAAGAAGAAGGAAGAGCCTTCCCACATTGTAACTCTTGTGCTGAAAATGAATCACTATATAARAAAGCAAAACCCTTCTCAAGAATAAGTTGTTGAAAAAAATGTCACCACTAACTGCTGTCATTATAGTCCCAGAAACATAAATAAAAAGTATGAGAGATATATCAAATAATGAATGTATGTTATATAAATATTTTACTTAAATTATTTATAATAAATTTAGTTAAATTAAAATGCTTCATTAAATTTAAATGTAGTCATTTATAATATATATGCTACCAGTTATCAAAAATCACTTTTTTTCTTTTTTCTCTTACTATATATAAACTTTATTATAAAAATTGTCCTTTCTTTATTTCAACTACATAAAAGAAATCATACTTAAGCAAAACAAAAGCCTAGAGTTGTACTGTAGAAAATCTGAGGATATATTTCATTAGATTAAATGAAAGTAAAAACCTTCTGAGCTGATCCCACCGGGTAATAATGGGCCTCTGCTAAAGCCAGCCTCCTTCAGCAAGAAATGACACAGTGTACATTTGAATCTGAAGTGATGAACAGAGGTATTTTCTTCCTACTTACAACTAATGGGTGTGTCCCTACCTCCTGCACAATGTGAAGGGAATTCCTAGGGCACATCAACTGCAACCTTTGATTCAGCAAGTAGCTATGCTAAGGATGCCACATCAGTGCACTTAGATGTTGCTACCAGCTCCAACTTCCACACTGAACCGACTGCAAAGGTCTACTCAAAAAACACTAAACCACCAGAACTGTCTCAAAGTGGGATTATAATAACTGGAAATCTTTAGATGTGGGTTATTTTTTATTTATATGATCTCTTGAATAAGATTCTCTGCTCAAAAACATTCATGAATTACTCACCTTGCATAAAAATATTTTGTTYTGTTTAATATACTTTACAATCATTAGTGAATTAACGATTTTGTAAACTGGTTTTCAGAACTGATTAACATTTTTTGCAAATACAATTTTTATGTCAGAGAATAGCACACCTTAAAACAATAGTACTTCAAAAAATAAATATATTAGAATAGCTAAAGATAAAATGTGTCTATTTTTGGGTCAGTATCTAACTTTTATAAATATGTAGTTTCCATTCASCAAGAGATTATTATTATAATAACAGAAATTAACCATATAGAWATTAAAACATAACTATTTTAAGTTGTAAAATTTTACACATAAAAAGAAAAGAGTAGCACACCTATAAACAATAAGAGGAACACTAAAACACCCAAGTGACCTCCATTTAGCTTAAGAAATAGAACATTTAGGACTTTCAAGTTGACTAAATTCACATTATTTCTCCTGTTCACATCTTAGAATTTCATATTAAAATTACTTTGCTTATATTTTATATTTTAAATATTATAAATATTATATTTTACTTATTGCTAATTATTTTGTTCTATCAYTATATTTTATATTTTACTGTGTATATATGTATCCTTAACATACACTGTTAGCATTTTTAAATAATCAAACTTCATAAACGTGTCACAATACTGCATATATTCTCCTGTTGTCACATAATATTGTTTCTGAGGTTCATTGTACTTGAAGTTATATAGTGTGCAGCTATAGTTCACTGCCACTGCTGAATACTAGACCACCATGTGGTACACCCTAATTAATCTATTCCATCCATGTACATTGTTTTCAGGGGTTTTGTTTTACTATTGCCAGCACTGGTGATCTGAAGACTTMATTCTTGTAAATATTTAAGGGTATACACAGAGTGTTTATCAAGAACCATAGAGTATGTATATTTCAGCTTAACAAAATCAGTAAGAGAAATTCTATCAGTTTATATCCYTCCTTTCCATAGTATTGTAAGAGAGTTCCAGTTGTTCCACATATCATATCTTTCTAATTTTTGCCAATCTCATAAATATAAAATAGATTCTCATATGACTAATTTACTAGTATTTGTCTTTGCTCATTTTTATTACTTTCATCATAAGTAACACTTTTATAACAAACATTTTGAACATGTTATATTATTTTGGAATCCTTGAGAGTTCTGAATTATTTGCTGTATCTAGTGACTGTTTTCAAGATGTCTTGTTGATGGAGGACTCACAGTGGCTAATATTAATTATCAGGTTCCTGATGCAGCTGGCTTAAGGAATCCTTTCTCCAGACAAGATCCGTTTTATCTCCTACTATGCATAAGACTTTRGCAACCTATATGGTTTTAATTTAGTTTCCCATCCTGGAATTTCTCTGACTGCATTATATAGAAAATTTCAGGCACTTCTGAGGCTATTATGGCCTCAGATAACCAAGGGAGACTGATCATCATCATTAGTTTTATGGATATTATTCTTTTTCCATCTAGATAAAAGAAAGACCTAGTGATTTCTTTGAAATGTTCCTGTCCACCCAAGATTTTCTTTCAAAACCTTTTCTCAAAGGAAAACCACCAAGAGGAATGTGAACTCTCATGTTCTGTCCCCTACTTCAAGGTTTCCAAGCCTACTTCCTGCTCCTGAGCATCCCACTCCCCAGTACTGTGCTTGCCTTCTTACCTGCCCAYGCTTCATCTACTCTCCTGTTTTTCCTATAGATTTTCATGTGATCCTTGATCCAGAGGACTTTTCTTATGTTTCTGAGTTCAGTAATACATCTGGAAATATTTTGTTGTTATATATCCAACATTGTGCTTCTTCATGACAGGAAGACCTCTGAGAATTTTTAGATTACTGCCTTGCCTGAAGCCAAACTGCTTAATATGTTTTAAAATATACTCTTGAAGGAACATTTGGTCTCCTAAACAAATGAATGAATACCAGCTATCAAGGTTATTAAACCAAGTCCCAGCTCAGTGATTCTCAAATGTTGAGAATACATGTAACTTACACACAAAGTCAAGGGCTTTCTTGTTCACAYTTTTCCATATACAGTGACTCCATCAGTACCAAATCACAGCTAGGGCTGAGTGAAAGAACAGGGAAAGCTCTGACTTTGCAATTAAGTAGACCTACTACAAATTCTGACTTAATCCACCTCTCAAGCATCAAAGTTCAAAACAAAAATAACATCATTGGTTCCTTCTTGCCCCACTGTGATCTTCCCTTTTTTTTTTTTTTAATTATGTTCCAGGTCTTACAATATTTACCATCCTGCTTCTGTGGAGCTTCATATTTGCTTCCTGCATCATGCCAATGCAATCCAAGCGTGATATATGGGAATATAAAAATAAATCAGGCACTGTTGGGTCAGTAGAGTACACAGAACAGTTATCATCTCCATCACATGTCACTTCCCTGCATCTACTTCATGCCTGTGGTCACCATGCTGTTTTATAGCTTGCGGGAGTTGTTCTGTCMCATACAGATGTGGGCTCTTTGAGTGCAGAGGCTGTGTGTTCTATATGTTCTACTCATGCTTAGCTTGGAATCCATGTCCTGCTGTACAACCCTGAAGTTAAGGGACTGGAAGGTCAAACATGAATATCACAGTGGAATTCTGACAGAAAGAGTTCCTCCAATGACATGTTTGAGGAAGATTCAAACGCTCAAGGAGAGCAACAGCCATCCTCTTGGTGCTAAGAAGC